AAAAAAAAAAAATAACCTCCCCAAAAAGAAAGCAAAGCAGGATGGAAAAAAATAAGTCCCCTATAAAGATAATGCAATAATGCATCCCAAACATTGAATATCTAGAGAATACATATATAAATATATCGAGGTATGTATGTTTATATATGTCTGGATCTTACAGACCCATTTGCATTTTACCCCTGCTTTGAAACACCTTTTGCACAAAGGATCTGCCTCTCTTCTTTCACGAACTCTAGCAGCAATGTTATTTTTTTTTTCCTAAGCACTAAGGTGAGAAAACAGACTTTCCTCTCCAGGAGAACGTGCATCCTTGCCTTGTCCGTGTGGCTCTTCCCGCTGCATCTCCATTCCCTTTTCCCAAGGCTTTTCATGCATCTTTAGGTGTCTTACAGCTGGAATTATTCTGCCAGAGGATGATGGTGACGTGCTAGGAAAATCCAAGGGTGGTTTCTGAGTGTGTCCCAGGGAAGCCAGACAGCCCAGGTGGAATATTTGCAGTTTGCAGAGTTAAATCTCACAGCACAATGCCTTTGTAGTGGATATTTTTAATTAAGAGTTTAGCCATTGACAGCCAAAGTTTTGCCATATTTTGATACACCACCATTTTTTTTTTTTTAAACTGGAAGCTTTTCTTAAAAAAACAAACAAAAAAAATTATAATTATTTTATAAATAAGCACAATCTTATTTTTATAAGAAATGTTTGGGGGAGGGAGCTGAGAAATGGGAGCTGGTACCAAAAGAAATGGAGAGTAGCTATAGGCACAGTGCAAAAAAAGCCCCAAAAATTCTCTTGGGATGTTGGGATATGGGAGAGCTGCTGTGGGACTGTGGCACTGGCACCGTGTCCCCACCCCAGAGCTTGATCTGGCCCTGCCTGAGGGGTTTTGTGGGAAAATAATGTCAATATTCCATGTTGGCAGGGCAGGATGGTGGTCCCTAAAGCATCCTTATGTCCCTAAATCCACACAGGGCAGCTGGAGGGATGCTGCTGGGGCTCAGGGCTGTGTGCCCCACTCTGGTTTGGGGGACACCCCACTAAATACCCCAAAAACCTCTTTTGGGGTGTTGGGATAAGGCTTGTGAGTCCAGCCCCCATCCACAGCTGGGTTTGCAGTGTGTGCACCAGCAGCGTGAGTTTCCGTGCTGGCACAGGCAGGAAAATCCCCCAAATTCATCCCCAGCCTCTCCTTCCCCCCTCTGCCAGCCTCTGGGTGCTCTCCATGGGACCCCAACCCTGCAGAAACACGGAGCTGGAGGGAAAAATGGAATTAAACGTGTGAAGAAATGCTCAGTGCTGCTGAGAAATGAATGGGGAGGGGGCAGCCCCATCCCATTATCCTGCATCCAGAGCTGGGCTTGGAGTTGGGCTGGGCTGGAGCTCGTCCCTACGAACAGCAGCAGTGCCAGGGAGCAGGGGGACACAGAGGTGCCATTTATTCCCAGTTTTCCTGCAGGTGGCTGTGCCCTCCTGCCCCTTAGGGCTGTTCCCCCTGCAATAAGGAGCTGTCTGTCTGCACAAAATAATCCTTTCTGTGAAAGGATCTTCCCATCAGGGCGATGGGAGAGCCCAGTGACTGTGTTGCAAAAGGGAAAGAAAAAAAAAAATAAAAAGAGAACAAGAAAAAAAAAAATTTAAAAAAAAAAAAAAGAAAACTCAAGGAAAATCAAGTGAAAATCCCCGGAGAGAAATTCTTTTGTACCAATGAAGTTTGTTGTGTGCCTTTTGCAGTACGGCTGGATGTGACAATAAAGTGACAGTTGTTTGCATCACTTTGACTCTTGGAGATGTAACATGCTCCCAGGCTTAAGGGGGAGGTGGAGCAAGGCTGAATTTAAGGAGAAAGTTGCATTTATTGTTCTTTGTTCCGGTGATCCCAGCTCAGGTTAAGGCATCTCCTGCCTCAGGCAGGGCAGTGGATGGGCTGAGCCTTTCAATCCTGATTTTTGGTGATTTTTGTGCAAGCGCCAGCCAATTCCAACTCTCTGGAGTTGGGAAGAGGCGCAGGGGGAACTCCTGAAATAAATGGGAATATGGAGTGTCCATAGTGAGGATCCTGGTGGGATGCTCAGGGGAGTGCCCAACCTTCAGGAGCTGTGGGGATGAAGGAGTGACCCCCCTCATGGTGGGGCAGAGCCTGGGGCAGTCCCCCAGAACCCCAAATCCTGCTGGGGATGCACTCGGTGTGATGAGTGAGCCCATCCTCTGCTTCCCTTCCATCCCTCCTCCTCCCCTGCTCCTTGGGGATAATGGGATGGGGATTTGGGAGCAGCTCCCAGGTGAGTTTTCCCCGAGGGAGGAGCTCCACAGCGTCGGTTCGGGACCCTGAGTTGGTGGTTTTGGGTGGTGCACGTGGAGTCTCCAGTGCCTGATGGAATGTTTGTGCTGCCTTTGTCCCCCACAGCAGCCAGCACCACCCTCCCATCTCCCAGCGGTGCTAATTAAACTCAGGACATAATTGGCCATTTCTTTTCCATGTGATTTTGGACCAGCTCTGCTGATCCTGGCACCTCCTTCCTCCAGCCAAAGGACAGCTGTGGAAGGTACCAACACCCACAACCTTTCCAGGTCCCCACTTCCAGTTCCTGGAGCATCTCTTGATCCTCCGTGGATTCATCCTCTGGGAGAGGCTGTGGAGTGCCAGGGCAAGAGGGAATGGCTTCCCAGTGCCAGAGGGCAGGGATGGATGGGATTTTGGGAAGGAATTCCTGGTTCTCAAGGTGGGCAGGCCCTGGCACAGGTGCCCAGAGCAGCTGTGGCTGCCCCTGGATCCCTGGAAGTGCCCAAGGCCAGGCTGGAACAACCTGGGATGGTGGAAGGTGCCCCTGCCCATGGCAGGAATGGGATGGACTTTAAAGTCCCTTCCAAGCCAAACCATTCTGGGATTCCATGAAGATGATGATGATGATGAAGAGCCTGTTTTCCACGGGGAAGCAGCATCTGGAAATCCTCCAGAGTGGTTTCTCCCAGCACACAGCACTGCCCTGAGGCCCTGGGCGCAGCCATGTCCCATTTTGGGTCCTGCCTGCCTTTGCCATCCGTCCCTCCTCCAAACCCTGGGATGGAGACGTGGGGCTGTGCCCCCCTGGAGTGCCCCCACTGCCCCCTTCCCCTGGCACCTTCAGCATCCACACTGCCCGAGCATCCAGTGCCTTTTGCACAGAAATAATTGTAGGTTCCCAGCAAATTCCCTTTGTCCTCTAAAAATATCCCTCGGCCCCGGCTGACCATCCGCAGGTCCGGGGCCCTAATTGCTGATTTCTGCTAAAATCCGACATTTTGGGGGCAGGAGGGAGGAGCACGAGGGAATGAGCCACTTCTGGGAGGGGGACTGCATTGTCTGCTGCTAAGTATAGCCTCCAGCTTTCATCCTGCCCTACAAAACCCTGGAATTTTCAATTTTCCTCCAGCCAGATGGGGAAGGGTTTGTGGCACCGGCCAGACGGGGGTAAAGAGGGGAGGGAGCTCTCCCCTCCCCGTGGGCTGTGCTTAAAAAAGGCTAAATGGGAATGAATTTAATAAATCCCTTAAAACAGCCCCAAAAAACCCAAAAAAAGTCCAAAACAGACCAAACCAGCCCAAAAAAAAAGCCCCAAAATAGACTTAAACCAGCTCCAAACAGCCCCAAAACAGCTTCAAACCATCCCAAACCAGCCCCAAACCAGCCTCAAACATCCTCAAACCAGCCCCAAATATCCTCAAACCAGCCCAAAACATCCCATTCCTGCTTCATCTCAGCACGGGGGATGTCCCCAGGGGAGGGAAAGGTCCTCGAGTTCCCATCCCGGCCACGCTGGCTTTTCCCTGGGATGCTCCCTGCTGCTCTCTGCTGCCTTTCCATGCCTTTCAACGCTGACAAAAAACCTGCCCTGAGGCCATCTCTTCTCCACTTCCAAATTTTGCAGCTCCCATCGCTATTCCGGGTTGGCCAGAGAAGTCAGAGGTTTGGGATTTATAGGGCGAGCACGGGCAAATGCCAGTTCGATGGAGCAAAAAAAGGAAATGTTGCAGTGGTATCCTTAATTTACTAATTAAATTCCCCCCCCCCCCCCCCCCCCCGCTTTCTCCTGCTGTTCAGCAAGGATGGCTGTGCCCAAGTAGGTGCTTGACACTGCATCCTTTTTAAAATTTTTTTTAAATTTATTTTTTTTTAAATCAACCCTCCCAAAACAAGCACGGCTGGATGTGCCCATCAGCATCTGGTGATAATTAAAAAAAAAAAAAAAATCCCCCGTGTGCCTGTGGCTTTTTTAGGGGATTTCTGGCACCCTGAAATTATCCCTGGAGCCTTTTGATGAAAGCAGCCATGTGGGGGTCACTGTGGAGGGATGCTGGGGGGCTCCAAGGGGGTGCCAGGGCTGCGGGGACACCTCTGGGTGGCATTTTTGGGGATGCTGGGCTGATGTGGCGGGGCTGAGCTCCCCGTGAAGGGCAGAGGAGGAAATTGGGCACCGAAGGAAATTGGGCACTGAAGGAAAATGGGCACCAAAGGAAACTGGGCACTGAAGGAAATTGGGCACTGAAGGAAATTGGGCACTGAAGGAAATTGGGCACTGAAGGAAATCAGTCACTGAAGGAAATTGGGCACTGAAGGAAATCAGTCACTGAAGGAAATTGGGCACTGAAGGANCACTGAAGGAAATTGGGCACTGAAGGAAATCAGTCACTGAAGGAAATTGGGCACTGAAGGAAATCAGTCACTGAAGGAAATTGGGCACTGAAGGAAATTGGTCATTGAAGGAAATTGGGCACCAAAGGAAATTGGGCACCGAAGGAAACTGGGCACCAAAGGAAATCGGTCACCAAGGGAAATTGGGCACTGAAGCAAATTGGGCACTGAAGGAAATTGGGCACTGAAGGAAATCAGTCACCGAAGGAAATCAGTCACCGAAGGAAATCAGTCACTGAAGGAAATCAGGCACCGAAGGAAATTGGTCATTGAAGGAAATTGGGCACCAAAGGAAATCAGGCAC